CTGCTGTAATACATCATCCCCAAGCGAACTTGTCAGATTGGTTTGTCTACAAATATGTTCACACTTGGAAATCTCTCCCTTCTGTGAACAGCAATCCATTAAACATGCATCTCTCTGTTTTCCCCATCTCGCTCTCTGTACAGAAAACCAGTTCTCTCCTTTTGTCCTCAGTAAATGCCTATTCCATGTTTTTGCATGTTTTAAATATTCACGCATACGAAAGAAGCTGTAAAAACATTGCAGGGCTTATTTATTATTTAGTGTACACACTTCTCCCTGCAGCACACCAAAATAAAAAACATTTTAGTCCTTTTTTTTTTTTCATTTCCGTTGTATTTGATTTCCATTACTCTGCTCGTTAAAGTTTAAAAACTGCTTTGTTTCCTGACAGTTGGGATTTATGTGTCTTGTCAGGCAATACAAGTGTACCTGTGGACATGATGGCAGAGGTGAGGGCGAGATGCTGTGGCACCTTCTGGCTTGTCATCTAAGGGTCCTGTGTGCAACACAAAGCTGGAGCCACACTGGCATGCAAAAGGTGCTCTGAGCCTTCAGGTAAGAGTACTGACCCCAGAGTTTAAAAGAGCCCTGAGTTCAGATACGAAGCCTACAGCTATTAAAAGATAAACAGAAGGACACTTTATTGCCAACAATAAAATGTCTGGAGTAAATATTGCCACACGTCAATCTTTCCACCAGTCACCAGATTCCCTGGTTTTAAGGCCAGCTCACAAGCTCACAAAGATGACTCAGGATAACTCTTAAACAATGCAAACCAAAGAACGTCACAGAGTCATTTCCCCATCAAATCCTAACAACTGTCTGGGCTCTGGCATCTCTTCTGGAATGAGACATCCAAAGGCTGCAAGAGATGGAGAGTTCACCATGTGCCTCTAGGGGATTCCAATGTCGAATTACCTTACAATTCCAGACTGGTTTGGGTTGGAAGGGACCATCTAACCTAAATCTCCCCTGTTTAAGTTTGAACTATTATCCCTTGCCCTATCGCCCTAATGAAGAGTCCCTCTCCACAATCCTTGTAGGCCCCCTTCAGACACTGGAAGGCTGCTTTATCCTCAGATGAGTGCCCTCTACTTTCTGTTATTCTCCCAGTGCTATAACACTCCACAAATCTCTCATTCACTCCAGGAATTACAGACAAGCCCTGTATGCTGGAGCTGAAGCTGAGGTAAGATAGTGGGCTTAACTTTTGAGTGCTCACCCCCTAGCAGCAACCTGATAACCCACCAGTGCTCTAAGGCAAGTTGGGATGGTGCCACCACAACGCCGCCAGAGAGAGATGTTCTCTGCACACACATACAGCAGACACAGTAATGCAGGTGACCTTGTGTCACCACCACCAGGGTGTTTCAATGCTGACCCAAGACCACCAGTGGGAGCACGCTGTGGGCTCCTGCTCTAACACTGCTAATGGTGCTGCCAGCAGGTACAGTCCTTCCAGCAGCTTGGGCATCCTTCCATCAGGATCTGGACTGCAACCAGAAACTCTGTTCACATAGGTCACTCAACAGACCTCACTACCAACCTGGGCTGGATTCAGATGACTGCCCCAGTGTGAAAAGAGCTGGATCTTGTAACTGGTGCCATAAAACAGTGACTAGCTTTTAAAAAAGAAGTTCACTGCTTCTGGAATCAGGTGGTTTTGTGCTTGCTCCATGTGACAGGCACCAGTGATACATGGTGAAAGGCATTTCAGAAAGAGGCAGGCAATACAGCTAGGTTTTAGCATATTTATATGCTACTTCATAACATCGAAGCTAAAGAGCACATTGTAAAGCACCTTATAAGTGCTATGCAAACACTACTTTATTATGTATTGTAGAATATCATCTTGTCTTGCCAGGGAGCTGACTGGGTAACTTAAAATACACTTTATGCTGCTTTATTGTGTTTCCTCCCCAAAGAAGTGCATATCCTTTCTAAGCCTGACTTGGAGGTGTGCACACACAACACACAGCTTTAAATACTAAATCCTTGCCCCCACTCCCAGAAAGAAGCAAATTATTTCTCCTCCCCTTCCTGATCTAAAGGAATACTATCATGTCAGGCAACTCAGCTGTACCAACATGAAACTGATCTGAGAGAATTAACCCGAGTTCCCTCACCTCACCGTGGGCTCAATCAGGACTTCACTGACCTGAGGAATGCCATTATTAAATGCTTTTAGCTGAGCCTGAAATGAAGGAGAAATTTCTTTACGGCTGCCTCCTGTGTTCAAAGAACAACAGGCATTTTCTGGGAGATACTCCTCATTTTCTACTTCTAATTTACCTTGAGCTATTGACTAGAGACATGTTGAGGAGTCTTCACACTAACGCTGTTCCCAAAGCACGGCAGAACATGCTACGCTGTTAAATGCTGATGGCAACCACAGCAGTGACTGCCTTGGGATAGGATAATTAGAAACTTCAGCAATGCAGAGGCTTATTCAGAAGGTGGGATGGCAGGAACTCTGGGCACTGCTGCTGCCAGTGGCCTCTGGTGCGTGCCAGAGAGCCAGACACCCTCCGTGCTCCTCCATGCTCCCAAAGATGACTCCTCTCTCAACAACCTTGTAACTGAAGTACTGCACTGAAGCTACATAAATCAAAGCACGTAAGTGACTGTGGCCCAGATCTAGAAGCTCCCTCTGCTCTGAGGTTTATTAGCTAAGAAGCACAGATGTAAGCCTGCTATTCCATTGCGAACTCAGGACTGGGAGGCAGAGTTGTTTGTAGTTCTGTGTTTGTCGCGGTCAGGTCAGTAAATGCAATAATAACAAAGTGCTTCCTCATTCTCCATGCAAAGCATGCTAAAATGCTGCTCTGTTTGTACACGAGTGTGTGTCTCTGAGTGTGATTTGAGCACTAAATGCTATATAGGCAAAGAAGCCTAAGAGTAATACTGCAAGACAGAAAGAGAAGAAAAACACAAAGAACAGGATTCTGGAACATTTCAGTATCCTGTTGACTCATGAGATTGAAGCAGACAGGTACAGCCCAAAGACAGCATGATCTAAATGTGGGCCAAGCTCTAACACACAGCAGGAATGTCTAATTTTAGTCTGTCCAGTTTTGGCAATGTCACCTTTAATTGCATGGCTCGTTTGAATTGTAAAACACCTTTAAAAGCTAACTAGTAAAAGGAAATAGGCCATATTTTCTAGACTAACAGTCATATTCAATTTTAACTGCAACAAAATTGGTTTTAAACAGTTAATGCACATTAGGACTTGAGTTACCAGAGAGAAAACATGGCCTGCAACCATACATGCAGATGTTTCAGCCATTTAATTGAGGCTGCATTCACATCATTTCATGGCAGTGCTGCTGCAAACTGTTTTGTGGGACCCAGGATTTACTGGTCTGGGTTCTTACCAGCTAACAAGCTGCAGACTTTGACACTGTGTGGGTTGGAGTGACCTGCAGCTGAGAGTTTCACACACAGGACTCCACGATGCTCTGGTCAATGTGAGAAGCAAAAGTGCCAGGACAAGGGCACGGACCCCTGTGAGTGAGGCTGGGTGTCCATGGCACAGGGGATAGGAAATGGCCACGTTGTAGTGAGTAGTGTCATTTACAAGTCTGATTGTCCAAAGAGTTTAGACTCCAAGTAGAATCTATTTAAGAAGTAGACTGTTGTGCCAGCGTAGGGTTTGAGAATAACCCAAAACCCTTCTAGCAGAAGAGAAGATTTTCTCAAAGCCTGGCCTGAAGCCAACAAGGTGTTTTTCATCAGCTCCAGTGAGGCAGGATTTTATTGCACACTGAGCACATGGAGCAATGATCAAAATTGGGGATTTTGTGAATGAAGCCCAAGTAAGCAGTTGGTGGAATCACTGAATACGCATGAGAAGACACTCGTAGCAAAGTGCTCACCGTCGGCAGAGGAAGAAACATATTGGGAAGTGCATTTAAATAATCCTCACACTGGTGAAATAATTAGCCACCATCCTGGAAGCACAGGCATGAGGACTGGGCTACTTTGTTAGGAGTTCTAGTCTTGATTAGCCAGAGCCCAATTCAGAGCCAGTTTCCTCAAGCACCCCCTGGTTCTGCACTAGAAGGGCTACAATCGGAGAGCTGCAATTGCAGGGAAAGTGCTGTACGGCTTTTGCAAGAGCAAAATCCTGCTGAGCCAGTGATGGAGGTGAATATTTAAGGACTTTGCCACTAGCATAACCTGCACTGCCACCTGAAACACACTTGACAAAGAGCGCTTTTTTGTTGCTGCTGATTGTGCGGCACACATAAACTAGGGAATCTTCCTGGAGAAATGGCTCTCTGCCTCCCTCTAGAGAGATCTATGGGGTAGGCACAAGGGTCAAACTCCTTTTCCTGCTTTTGTTAGCATGAAGTTAACAGCTTTTAACTTGCTCTTTAGCTCTTCAGAAAACATTTCTGAACAACACACACCACCAGGGCTGATAACCTCTCAGCTGAGCCCCTCCATCGAGGAGCCCACATGCAGCACAAGAAGGGCCCTTGCCATGACCCGACAGACAGACTTTGTGCCTGCAGAACGCCCAGCACAGCCAAATCACAGAACCATAGCAAATCACAGAATCCCAAACTGGTTTGGGTTGGAAGGGACCTTAAAGCTCACCCAGTCCCAACCCCTGCCATGGGCAGGGACACCTTCCACTAGAGCAGCTTGCTCCAAGCCCCTGTGTCCCAGCTGGTCTTGAGTGCTGCCAGGGACGGGGTAATCTTGCTGGGGTATCTGAAAAGGCACTTTTATGGGCCCATTTTCTTACACAGGTACCCTCGTAGGTACCCCAGAGCCCCCTTCTGATAGCAAGTAGCAGCGCTGGAGTGGGCCATGGGTTCTAGCACACTCAAAATGGCTAGTTTGCTTTTACTGCAGAGCAGGGGCCCAGCAGAAGCCCTGTACATGTGGCTGCCTGTCTGCCCCCATGCCCACTCACTCACACCACACTCTCAGGCACCAGGCAGCAATGCAAGCGGCTCACAGAAGAAACTTGTAACCAAAACCATCACCTCTTATTCTCTTCAGTCCTGATGTCACAAGGTTTCTAAGGACACGTCTAAATTCAACCTCCAGAACTCTGACACGATCCCAGGAGACCTATTTACACAGAGAAAGATTATTCAGATATCTGTATCTTACAAAAATCACATACATATTGAAAGTGTTTCTTATTGGAAGTAATTGCTCAAACCACTTTAGTAAACACCACCTCATCTGGGGCTTTCTGAAGAATCTGTATTTTCTTTTGAGTACCCTTAATACCTGAAATCTGAAGTCTTCTCTCAAGACACAAGTCACATTTTTCCTCCCCCTAATGCATCACTTCAGTTGAGAGGTGTCCAAAACATGATGCAAGATCTTAGGTGGACTAAATTCTGTTCTTTTCCCTTAAGCCTAACAAGTCATTAAGAAAGGCAAGTGGGAAATAGCCTGGCAATTAAAAACAGAATATAGAGGAAAAAATTAAAGTAATGCATCCTTGGACTGTAATTTAGAGAATTTATTGGTCATAAAACCTTGATGAGTTATTCTTATGACAAAACCTGTAATAAGAAGGAAAAAAATGATAAAAATAATGAACGCATTTGTATGACAGCAGCTGTAACAAGTACAGGGAATGACAGAACCCTCCTTTGGAAGGATTTAGCTTCATAATTACAATCATATGGATATCTTAATGCCATTGTTTTGGTAACAGATTGTCAGTTTTGCCTTGGAAACCTTTCCACTGAAACTACTTGCATCTTATCCTGAAAAAATAAACACCTCTCTTGTCTCATGTGAAGCAAAATGCTGGGAGCTGTGCAAAAGATTTCCATAGGAAAACCAGAGAGTGATGCCATGAGTCTGTGGATGGGGTATGGGGAGGTCTGCAAGTGTGATCTATTTGGGTGGGACTGCAGAATGAAGCAGTCTCCTGTATGTGCAAAGGGCCTGGTAAGTAAGGGTGTCTCACAACAAAAGCAGGCAGATGAAAATAAACCAGTGGGGTTCATCCACCTAATGAAAATTCTCCTGTTCAGTTACAGGAGCAGCAAGGGCTGCAGCATCAGACCTCTAAGTGCTGAGGGTACCCACCTTAGGTGTTCTGTTCCAAGCCTGCACAGAATGGAGTCTAGCTGAGCCTAGGGAGGAGCAGAGGCTGCCCTTTGGAAGGACTTGCCATCCCTTTGTACAGTATCTGGAGTTACTTCATTTGAAGTACCGCAGGAAGCAGGAAAAGAGAGATTTGAATTAGACCCTGCAGATTGAATTTCAGAATTAGAAACTAGATCCTCCTGAAATCCCACCTGCAAACAAGCTCAAAGCACAGCCAGTTCTGGGACTGAGATTTAACCTATCATTTCTACCCAAACCACCACCCCTCCTGCACTTCCTCCCCATTTCATTTCTTTATGTATCTCCCCAGGAGACAGACTCAGCCTCTGATCCATGTTTCAGCGCCAAGCAGTCCACAAGCACACAAAACCCAAGCAGCAATAAGGAGAGGGACCTGCAGCAGCGTGTAGTCAATAATACATGCTGCCACCTCGCCCAGCTCAGTGAGAGTGTTTCTCCATTGCATGTGTCAAGGCTCATTTCATTTCCCAAGCAGCTAGTGTCCTGACAGGCGGGTGAGTAACACCTTCGTGGTACTTGATGTATTTAATGGGTGCCTATGAGCTGGTGGGAAGCTGAGGTCCTCCCAGACCCGTATGATCTCTTCCAGAAATAAACATCAGTTGGAATGGAAGGGCTCTGATAGGCACAATCTGTTAGCAGCAAATTGAACTGTCACCCTTGTATGTCATGTTCATTTGGCTGATTAAGGAGATATTAATCTACTGTCATTGTTACAGTATCTGTCATCCCGGGGAGAAAAAAAAAACAAGGATATGCAGGCAGCTTTTCTGGAGATATATATACACACAGCGAGGGAAGGAAGAGGTGTGCAGAATACAAATGAAACTCTAATCCGCTACAAGTATTGAACCAACTACAACTGATTACAGAGGCACACACAGAGCAAGCCATGGGTCCTGCTTCAGGTGATGCCGAACCTGGGTTTTGGCTGGTTTTGACTACAAAAATTCTGCAAATTCTGAGCAGTCAGGCTTTGCCTCCTCAGAGTGCAAACAGCTTTAGCATCTGTACAATGGGTACGATAAGCTGTAATGGTAAGGAGTTTCTGACCACATTTTGTTATTTCAGGAGGCAACATCAAATCCCTTCATTGCTATCTTTGGTAAAGGAGTGTGGGGACGTTCATTATTTTTGCTTGAAATGGTGAACGAGCCTTGCATTAAAGCCTTTTTTGTTCCTCAGATACCAAGACCTCTTTCCGAAATACATGGCATGGAATATGTGGCAGGTAACACATACCCAGAGCGAACCTGCTACTCATTCAGCAGCACTGCGAAACCCAATCTCAGTTCATCTGCCAGCCCACCTCTTCCTTTCTTCTCCCTCTTTGTGCCTTCTTTGCCTGTTTTGCTGAATTTCCCCCCCCCAAAGCAACTCCTACATCCTGTTCTCAACACATCTTTTCCACCATTTTACCTGAAAAGAGATCAAGAGAGCTTGGTAATGATTTTGAAAGCAAAGGTTAGGCTGTACAAAACTTGAAGATGCCACATCTGCTACGGAATAACATTGCACTGAATGTGGTCTGAGGATTAACATAAAATGCCTCCAATTTAGGAGAATTAAGAGGAGTGTTGACTTACAGCAGCACATAGTTAATGAGGGAACATTGACTGCAGATCACCTCGGAGGAAATGATAAAGGAACAAATTCATTTCTAGCGTATACAGAAACAACTCCCACTGCCATTCACTTGCAAACCCTGGTAAATAAATCTAAACTTCTGGGCTGCTTCACATGGAGATAGCTCAGGATATCAATGTCAGTGCTGGTTAGCAGAACCCTTTAATGAGAGGCAGGCTGCCACAGCCTTTATTTAAGAGCACAGCTGCCATTAAAGCAGGATTTTAATGAATATGCATACACAAAACCTTGTCTGCATAGCGGCTTACTCATTTTTGTAGTGGGAACATTAATACAACCTGAAAAGCTCAAGAATACATCATTAAACATAAGCTGCTAGTTCCACATTTTCTCAGATGAGAATGCATGCATGCTAAAGCCCTGCACCCCCCTCACTTTTGCAACAGTCCTCATAGTTTATGTTTGAATCAATAACTATTTTAATATGGGGAGTTTAGAAAAGTTTGATTCAAATTCCTTTGACACAGTTCCATCAACATCCAGTTATAGAGCCATTCTGCATATGACTCATTAAATATTTAAAAGATTCCTATTATTGAATTAACTATTTATTGATTTATAATTTAAAAGATTTATGCTTCGCCATTAAAAAAATTCCAAGCTGACTTTCCCTTAAAGAGATGTCAGGTGCCATTTGCTGCTAGTGAATGTCTAATGTACCCTTTTCACCCCTGGAGTGAAGAAAGGACAATTACTCAAAGGACCTCTGGTTCAATATTCATACTGTTTAGATGCTGAGGTCTGTGGTTGCTTTTTTCCTCCTGCGGCATTAGGTCATGCTCAGCAGCGTCTATCCATCCATCCCACAAAACCTCAGCCTCCATGGAAATGCACAGCTTGTAGTTTCTCTCCTGTTACATTTATTGATTTGCATCCCAGATGAATTTTGCAAGCCATATGAGACTTCCTGGTTATATTCTTGCAGCAGTGATGCTCTTGTTGAAATCCTAAATGCAAAAGGATAAACACACATGGATACAGACACCCACAGTGGATCCTTCTATCACCGCTCTCACAGGGCCCAAATCAAAAAGCTTTTCAGACTGGGAGCCTTACCTGTGGAAAATAATGGGTCTTTCCAATATTAAGAATGGATTTAAGAGCTCTGCTGAATTGGGACCACGGAAATGAAAATACAAGTTGAGCACTGCAACATCAACTCCCAGCTTCAAATCCAACACTTCCCAGGCTCTGGCTTTGCTCTTTCTGTAAGGAGGTGGAGGAAGAAATATTAATATATTGCCTTTATTTAGCACCTTTAATGTGAGGCTCACCCTCTGCTTTACCAACATCAATTACTGAAATCTGGACAAGCTCCCAAGGGCTGTCTATTATTATAAAACTCCCTTTACAAATGAGTAAACTGATGCACAGGAAGGTTAAGTCACTTGCTGAAGGCCACACAAACAGTCCACACCAGAGCCAGCTACAGCCTTCCAGAGAAGAAAAGGAGGATAGAGCAGAATAAATGCACTGTCTGCCCTCCCTGGGCAAACTCATGGGATTTCCAAATACAGACAGAAATACTCCTCGGATCTAATGGAAAAAGGAACACAAAACATGGGAATGACTTTTTTTCTGTACACAGCAAGTAAGGGTCTGCTTCAGATAATGATCTCTCACTGTTTATTTTACTTTTGACTTTGGGGACCTAAGTTTTAGTGATATACATTTTTCTACAAGCCATTCTTGGCTCTCTATCAAAACCACACGGAGTAATTAGCACAGGTCTGTCAGACAGAACTAGAGCAGGGTAATGTATTATACTGGAGAAATTGTTGCTCCAGTTTCCCCAATCTGTGAATTACAAATAAAGATCTCTATGACTTGAAAAGACTGCTTGCTCTAAGTAGTAACTATTTCAAGTCTGCCACACAGCTTTCCCAGTGGTATTGCTGGGGGTTAGGGATTAACCCTAGAACAAATAATTTTTGGCACATCAGACACACACCTGTAATAAATCCAGTTAAAACTGAAATAAGTTAAAAAGAAGGTATTGTGGAGACAGAGAAAAGGAAGCTCACTCCAGTGTGATACAGGAGAACACATAAACAAATATATATATATACACACATATGTGTATATATATATATATATGTATGTATGTTCATCTTGTCATTAGTCCTCATAAATGGACACTGGAAAGTAACACTGGGACTCTGGCAAAAGTACAGAAGGTCACCTCAAATTAGAAAGGAAAAGGTGAGGCTCAGACCAGTGAACAGCATATTTCTCCATCAGCAATGAAATCTAGATCTGCTATTGCAGTTATAGCTGTTCAGATCAAGGCCTCCATGTTCTGCAGGATCCCTGCTGGCCACAGACAAGGAACAGACTTTGCCACTCACATCCCCTTGGAAGAGCCTGCAAGGTACTCACTGAATGCAGACAAATTCAGATCTACCCTTTCCCTTCTCTGCTGCAAAATGGGAATAGCGGTTCCCACTGAGAGGGTGGTTTATGGGTATGCATTTTCTGGAAGTGGAAGGAGCTCTATATGCCCAGGATGTGACTGCAGACGATAGTGCACAACTGGCCACAGCTGTCAAGACTTTTGCCTCCTAAGTTTTCTCTCCATGGATGATGGATCCAGAGCAATGCTCTCTGCTGTGGCATTTCTTTCCCAAGCAGTGGGTTCCAGCTGTTCACAGGCTTACACGTCCTCTTCTGACCCACTCAGGGAATGATAGGCAGTGATTTATTTTAAGCACTGACATCCCCACTTGGGAAGAAGTTTGCTCTACAGCTGCCATTCCCTGTGAAGTGCCAGGAGGGGTGTGTGGGACAAGGACTGGCAGGGCTGGGAAGCTGCGATCCAGCTCCCAGTGGAGTTCCTCCTCACCTGGTGCTCAGCAGGATATGAAAAAGCATGAGCAGACAGTTCTGGTATGAGTAAGGAAGAGAAGAAGATTCGCCCCTCCAGGGACAATGCTGACAGACAGGCTCTGTATCAGCTCTGTCACTTGTAATGGACTGGAAACTGAAACGGAGTCAAATCAAGTGTCTGTGCTCTCTGCAGAGCAGGAACTCCCCAGCAGTCTAAGATAACCCATCTGCCCTGCCAGCCCTGATGGAGCTGCATGATCACAACTTGTTGGCTGTGCAAGGCAGAAGAACTCACAGTGAACAGATTCCCAGGGGATTTTCCATTAAACCCTTGGCCATTCAGTCAGTTCCTCTGGCTGTCACACAGCGCCTTGGCCTCCACAGCATATATATCAAGCACCAACACTTAGCAGAAGTTTTTAAATGTGAATGACACACATTTCAGAGCCAGACCAGAGCTACCCGGGTGCAAACCTGGATGTTTTAATCTGGATACCTCCAGTCCAAGGGACTGTACTCCCTTCTTCTGCTTTGGACACTCTTCAGTCTGCACCAATGCCATCGGCTATGATATCAGATACCCATGCAAATTTCAGGTGCTCCTCAGAACTTCTCTGACAAACCTGATCCCATCAGGAAACACTCTTTCCCTCTGCTTTTCAGATGAACCTGTTGCAAATGTTCTCGACCTGCAGGCACGTTATCAATGATGCTCAGGCAATTCCAGTGCTGTCAATACCCCTCAGGGCTCACAATCCCAAAGGCAAGTGCTTCCCGCTGTTCATAGGCTTTGCTTGACCCAGGATCCAGAAGTCACTGCCAAGGTAAAGGTAAAGCTGTGAGTATATAATTTAATCTTTGGCAATATATATCACTTCAGAAAACTTGGATCTGAACACTGAACAGGCCAAAATACTTGTTCTGTTATTTATAGCCATAAATTGCCCTCATTTACAAGTTTTTTAATATTAACCCTCGGTAGCCATTACAGCAGCAAATACGTGTCATGCTTCATCTTCAAATCAAATCAAATGTTATGGTACACTATACGATGCTTACTTATATACATGCAGTCACACAGACTAGTCAGGAACGTACGCAGGAGTAGTAACTATATTGCTTTGATATCTAAGTACCTGTGAATTACAACACTGCTATGTAAATATATGCATACACAGAGACTGGCAGACTGGAAAGGATACATACATGAATAGGCTAATTCAAAATGAGTGGAGGCAAAATGAATTATTCACTGAAGGGTTTTTATCTGCATTATTCACAGAATGCATTGGAACACAATTACCCACTTGGTCAGTAGACCTCTGCCCAAAGTTTACTGTCTTGGACTTGCTGAAGAAACAAAAAAGGTTATTCCACAAATCAAGGTTCAATCCAGCTCTGCATTTAACAGTAATCACTGCCCACCAAGACGAACAGAACATCATTCAGTGACTGAGAAAGCAAGTCATGATGAAGAAGCTGTTGGAACAGGAAGCAGTTGATTTCCCAGGAGCCCCATAAATCCACCTCTGATGTCCTTTCAAATTCTCTGTTATTGCCACAAAAATTGCAAACTCCAGTTAAGAGGTGAAGCAGCTGACACACTCCTTTACCAGGGAAGAACTGTGACCTGGGTCTGCCTGTGCAAACTCGTTCAATGCGCTTAGCAGATACAGCAAAAGAGAGAGACCTCCTCCTCAGGGCTTTGGATGTGTGATGCACCCCGGGATCAGCCTAAGTTCAGCATCTCCCTGCCTTTGTTTTGTCTCCTTGTTAACACTTAGCACCCGTGTGCTCTCCCACAGCATCCTTCCTCTTCTGCATCTTACTCTGGAGACTCCAAACTTTCACATGCCTGTAACACTGAGAGCCAGGAGCATCGTGGTGAAGGCTCGCGTGGTCCTTCTGTGCAGTACACTGCTCCTAAGGTCCTAGCGACAGCACGCATGGGTCAATGGGAGCAGGCAGCCATCCAGCCAAGAGAGCTCTCATACCACAGCATTTATTTCGTTTTATTCTGTTTATTTTAAGCTGACTAATTTATACTAAATTAGGGCTGACGCTGTTCTGGATATTCTGCCAAGTTTTAAATGGAGCCACCCAAGCAGAGGAGGCCAGGTACCATCTCAGAGCAAGGTGCCAGCTTCTGTGAGCTGCAAAGCAGGTAGAGGCATATCCACACACAGGACATAAGAGCAGGGAGTTAGTTACTTGTTTAAACATCTCCTGATTCTCCACACCTGTCGTGACCCACAACTGGAGCCACTGCAGCTGTCAGCAGCACAGTAGCCCATCAAAACACTCCAGAAAATATGATTTTCACAATTCAGATCCATATTCCCCAAGTGTAGGGAATCTGGGATCAATTTTCAGCTCGGTTACAGATGCAGCACCTTTCTGCAGAGGAGTTGCTCTCCCTGTGACAGTTGAGCACTCACTGACGATGTGTGCACAGCTTGCTTTGTTGGCCACATAACCTATTTAGGCTGCAAGGTAACACCACGGCAACTATTTTCCACAGTAAGGATCTCTTGACATAAATGCCTCACCATGAGATTAAAAATGACAGTGTTGAGAAACTGATAACCAGCATGTGATTCTTGAAGAGTCTCAGAGAGTGGAGGTTACAGTGTCCACACATGGACTTTGTTTGATATCGTGCTGAGACACTAATTTTTCAGTATAAAAATCTGCCTTTTCTTCATGTGTGTTGAAGCATTATTAATTTTTGACTGCACTCTATTTTTTCACTATAGAAGAATGAAAAATAGGTTTAAACCCACAGTTGTCTCAAGATTTTTGTTTCCATGCTTCCCTCCCTGTGTGTCACTTCTGTATGAAATATTTCTGTGTGTGCAAAAGTGCACTGTGCTGCTTTCCGTAACAGCACCAGCAAGTCAAAGGCACTGCTCATCCTGGAATACACTCCTAACATCAGACCAAGATTCTTCCTGAGAGGATGACAAGCACCTACTGTACTTCTGTGCTGGGGAAAGAGACACTTTCAAACCCAGCTTGCAGAGCCAATGCTTTAGCTTGAGTAAATCCAGGCAAACAAGGAAAATGCTTTTTGCCCTTTGCATGTTACTGCTGGTTGATGGAGATGCCATCAGTTCTCCGTGTTCAGTGGTCCTGGAGCAGCTGCTTCTGCCATCAGGCACGGCCAGTCTCCATCGGCGATGCTGGAGTTGAGGAACACAAAACACATTTCAAGCAAGAGGTCACATTTACCAAATCCTAGCCATGCATGACTTGACTATGTGAACAGCCATTCTTATGTTTCTTCATCAAGGAGTTTTTCTTCCTGCTTTCTCAGCTGTACAGTGTCTCTGCCTTTTTTTTTTGGCTTGAGGTCTCTGCCTAATTATCTGTAACCTTCTGTTCGAAGATCGCTGTCCTGCCCTGATAAAAACCAGTAACTTTGAAAACAAACTGGGTCTTAATTTTCCTTGACAGCCCTTCTTTAAACATGTGGGCAAAGCCCTGGCTTAATTAAATGCACATTCGTATTCCAAACAAATTAAGTACAATTAAGGACCCTGAGTTATGGGTATCTATCACTCGGCGATGTTTTTGTAAAAATTACCACATTTAGATCAAACACAGAGGACCCTTTGCTTAATTGCTTCATTAGGGCCCGATGCAATAGGCTTCATAAATACAGGGTCTGATGTCTCTTTGGGAATTGCCCAAAAGACGGCTCTTAAAGTAATTGCTTCCACATTTCTCCCCGTGCAATGTTCATGTGCTCACTGATGGAAATGGGATGGCTCTCAGACATGTAAGGGAATGTGGGTCCTGTCGTGTCTTCCAGCATCAGGACTGCTGCCCAGCTCTTGGGGGCGGGTGGGTTTGGGCCCCTGGTTATTACCTGTGCAGTCTCTGTGAGGAGTTTGACAATCCCAACCGGATGAGGCTGTCTGCAGTGTGCTGGTAGCACAGTGCTTTTCTCATATATCACCTATAGATCCCACAGACTGAGGTAAACAGGATGCTTTGGGATTTATTTTTCCAGAAGTTGCTTTGAAGCAGTAATGAACTGGCAGAAAACACTCGATGGATACAGCTTCAGGTCTCCGACCAGTTTTATCCCTTTAGTTCTTACAAATGCAGTTATTATGGCCCTTTAAAAAGAAAGTCTATTTACAGTGATTGCTTTAGCTGAACACAACCTACTCTTGATGAAATTAAGCCTTCCTTCAAACACACCTAGAGTGAGGAGTCCAGTTAGATGGAGGCCAGGTTTAACCCTTGCTTCGATGGATGCCATTCGGTGCAGATGGATAATGTGGATGCAGAAAGGGACCAGGGCACAGGTTTTTTTCTGTGAGATCTATGAAGAGCAGCAAAAGAAGATGTGACATTCCTCCCCTTTTTGCATTTGTTTTCTGCCTTACTTGACAGGCTCAGGAGTTCTGCATTTTCACTGCGGAAGCCAAAATAAGCAGTGTGCACCCAGAAGCAACAATAATGACTGCAGCAGAGCTGAGGGAGTGGGAGCTACCTTGACAGAACAATGAGGAATGGCTTGTCATTCTTGAATGAAATGTTTGCAGCATTTTTGTACTTTTGTTCAAATATTCCTTTTCTTTAGCAGAAAAAAAGTGGGAAGCTTTTCCTTGCAAATACTTTCTTTTCCAGCTCACTCTGTATCTATCCTCTTTTTTGTTTTACTTTTTCATTTGCTCTTGAAAAAAGACAGGAAACAGAAGAATGGGAAGATGTGAAAGGGAAAAGGAAATCCATCTTCCCTAAACAAAATGCTGTCCTGCTGCTGCGGCGATGGGAGCTCTCTCAACATCAGGATAAGGTCCATCTCCTGTACTGCCCTTCTGAAAGCAGTTTTCAAATCACACAGACCAGTGTTCCATGGCCCATTCTCTCCAGCTGTCTCAACCAGCTGAAGAACTTCTGGGCTGGAGATACCCATACCCCACAAACAGAGCTCAGACACCCTTCCCCTGACGCTCCATTCAGCATCCAGAGGCTGGAAGCTCAAGTGTCCAACACCGCAGCACCACTGACCTCACCACAGTGTCTGACCACAGTCCTTCAGGCCACCCCAGCCTCTGGATCTGCAGATTTATCCTGCAGATTACAGCAGGATAAAAGAACCCAGAAGTCATAAAGAATGCGTTAACAGCTCTTCTGTATAACACAAGTCAGCCTGATTTCCACAAGTTATAAAAGTCCATCAACCTCCAGTGGCCAAAGAAACAGAGCTGCTTATTTCCTGCCTGCCTTATTCTCCAGACCAATTTTCCTCAATGCTAAAGCAAAGAAATGAACGGCAGATTGTCCAGTTCATGACTGGATGGCTGGCAACAGAAATCCTATTTCCAAACTGACCCCTGCTTTCCTGCATGGCATTCATTAATTCCACAGTCTCACATTTCTAGGAAGATGTCAGTCATGTATGTGATTTTTCTATCAGCTATTAATGCCAGATCACAAGGTGAGAAAGCAGGGGTTTTAATCTCAAGACCCTCAGGAGATGGAGCTGCATACATTTGGTGTGAGCCATGTGTCTGGAAATGTCAAGGACAAATATTTTTAAAGTAAGGAGTGTTTGTATCCATGTGTAATCTTAAGTACTACAGAAGTGATCCAAAACATAGCCCTTGCTGTTGCGACTGCTTGCCTGCAGCAGGCACAGAGCTGCCACTGCCCAGGAATTAAGTTTAGATCATCTAAGGAGGCACCTATGCATTTAGGAATTTATCTGTTTCTACTGAGCGACACTTTAAGGCTCTCCTAAAGGCTTTGCCCATGGCAGCGTTTAGTTTTCTCTTTGTAGAAAGGGAGTTCTGCTGTAGGAACAGTGGAAGTTTTCTATCTGTCTCCAAAAATTGTTTGTTCATTCTAAAGATGGGATTAGCTCCTCATATCTGTATTTTTTGCCATCCCCTATTAGGTTCTTTTCCCATAGGCCGCAAAATTAGGCACAGAACTTTACTACAAAGGCCTAATCACAGATTCCACCTTCCTAAGAAATGCACAAAATCCCCTGTTTTTCCTTCCATACTTTGCTCAACTGAATGATAACATTGAGTCCCATTATAACCCAGGTGTCAAACAGCACATAAATATGCTACTACTGCTGGAGAAGAGTAACTAAATTGCTGAGAAATATACAGCAACTCTATTAAAATGCCATTTATGTACACATATTTCTAACAGATCATACAAAGAGCTAGCACTGTGCTTTACCTCTTCTCCTACAAGTGCCACTGAAAAATCTAACACTGTGAAAGGGTCCCTCAAACTGTGATGTCAGAAAAGTAGAAAAGGAGACCAAATTTCTCCAAATTGTTTTGTAAATTATAGACTTGCTGGTTACCAGTTCCAGAAGTGCCACAGTTGAGGAGGAGAAAGAACCTTCTCCTAGATGAGCTCTTGCCAGTAGGTGTACTGATGCCTGCCTCAGGATGGCTGCACTGTCAGCCTGCAGCATTACCACCCCAGGAAACTTAATGGCAACACAAGTGAAGTGGGAGAAACAACAGTTGTGCCCAGCAACAGAACCCCCTCTGCCTCAGCAGCCCACGGCATCATCAACAGCTGAGCATTCGCATGACACCTATTTCACACACCATTGCCCGTTGCTGCAACCAAGGAATGTTATTTAGCTAACAAAGAGTGTTGCAAATAGTTACTCATTTGCCCTTCACATGCTGTCACCAATTTTCTTTCTATGGGCCTACTTACTTCTAATCATTCAAGTTCAAGACTAAAGGGTGTAAAAATTGTCAGCCTTCCTCCTGATGTGAACCAGGTGTGTGCATTTATGTGTCACCCTGTAAAAAGTGAGGCAGAGAAACCTCTGAGGAAGCACTGCTGGTGTGCACCCTTCCAAAATCCTTTCCTAGATAGCTGCTCTATTGCTTGAAATACAGATCTGAGTCCGATTTTAGCTGCTAACTGCCATATAACATATTATCCTACTTATTGCATACAGTTACAAACATCTCGTATCTGGAAGCAACAAGGGAGAGGGCTCCTTTATCAAGTCAATCTCAAATCCCATTATGTTCCTCTACAACAGTTTCCGTAAACATTCAGCAATTTCCAGTGTCTGAGTTGCGCAGCTGAAGAGGTGCATAAACAGGCTCCACTGAAATGTGAAGATGACTGATAATGTACTAACATTGAGACCCCTTGCTGTGATTATTACCCCCTGAGTGCTCCTTACAGAATGTGCCTCTTATCTCACACTGACAACGCTAATAGAATATGCATAGCCCTATTAGCATACAAGATAATAGCACCCTGGAGGGGACAGAGCCATAAAACTTTAAGTAGAAATCAAAACAGAAGGAGGAAGAAAAAGGGAACATTGTCACAAGCCAAAAAGAAAAAAAAAAAAGGGAGCCTGAGGGCAAATTTTGCTGCAGAAAACACACATAGTCATAATTCTTGTGCTAGTCACCATGCAAATGGTAATAGTCTTTAGTCCCATGAATACTATCAGTGCCATGTTTGCTGTGAAACATTAATTGAGATAATGTGCCCTTTCGGATGCAGCAGGGAGTCATATGTCAAACTGTACCACAACAAAATTATGGCAACATCTGCAAGAAATATCCAGCAGCAATTGGGGTACCTTGCACTGGGTATGGCCAACTGGGTCTTCGCCTTTGCAGATGGAGCCCGTGGAAGAGCTGGAGCCTGCAAGGGGAGACGAGAGGCTGTTATTCAGAGGATGTGTGTATACCTGTAGCTTACTACTTTTCAGCTGCTGCCCAGTTAAAAGCTTTGCAGGTTAGATGCATTATCTCTTGACCCTACTTCAGTCACTGGATAAACCTCAAGCAGCTCTTTGAATGCCAAAGCCTTTCTTTAGTCACGTCTGCCCACTGCATTCACATTTGTTCCATGTAACCGTCCATTGTAGCAGACCTTTCACTGCTCACCCATAGCTGGCAGACAGCCATGCATTCATATGCTTTCCATCTTACAGCAATAGCCAAAGTAAATCTTTCAGTGCTTGGCACAAGAGTGTGAATTCAATAAAAAAGGCTTCAAACAAGTTTGAGATGGCTTGTCTCTAAACAAACGAAGAACAGTGAGCTTTTTTAATGCTCATTGTGGTTCAGTTCCTGCCTACAGCTAAATCCAGATAACCCCCAGCAGCACTGACAACCCTGTCTGCTAAAATAGTCACCTGTCAAGCAGGCATGAAAATATCCACACATGGAGGTGCAGAGGGGTTGGAGGGAAGTGACCTGCTCCTTACCAGGAGCTTCAACAGGGGCAATCAAAGGTCCTTGTTGTCTCCTTTGTGAGACCTGAAAGTTTGCAATATTAGTGCTGAATGCACAGGACCCCAGGGTAATCGCTCCACGGAGCGCTCTGTGCTTTTTCCTTTACAGAAAGATGGTGTCAGGAGGTAACAAGCCCGGGATCCCTGTGGTGCATTTTGAAGCATCATGCAAAGTTTTCTGGGATTCCTCCTAGCATTCACTGTGGTTTCTATAGAGCTAAACTCTTTGTAAAGTGGCTTTGTGTTGCAAAGTTCTGCAGCTTGTGTGAGTCTGCCTCACTTCATTTTGGTTGATGGTACTTTATGCTGACGGTTTCAGCAATTAGAACACAGTTGGAAAAGACTCTGGTAAAGAAAAACCTGCCATTCTGGCAAGGGAAAGCAGAGTGAAGATTAGAGGCATGATTCCTGAATATACCTCCACAGGTGTCCATGGGTGTTCATGCATGCATACATCCTCTGCCGCTATGTTATCACAGGCAAACCAGCTCATCTCAAAAACAGACATTTTAGAGATTGTTGAAGTGCTTTGTTTAACGTTGTTCTGCAGCTGATACAAAGTCTGGAATAATTTCTCCCTTCCTCCTGGAAAGATAACAAAACACCAGTATGTGTAGTGTAGGAACTAATGATACCTAACGTGAATCACAGATGTACAATTCTCCTAGGTTATTTCCATCTTAATTTTTCAGACTCCAAGTAGTCTTAATATCAGGAATTAAGTGAGGAAATGCTAGTCCCACAGAAAGGCATTCCAGCCTTGGCTGTGTCTAGGGAAATGCTTGGGTACCTACACCCCATAAACTGCCCTTCATGAACAGCTTTTAAACCTGGGTCCAAACAGGACCAACTCCAGGTCACAGCATGATGGTTCCCATCACTCAAGCACAGCTGGGAAGCCTCACTAAATGTTGGGCAATTCTTGGGGCATGTAGGAGGAATATTTCATACACTGCAGGATTAGCAATTACCCGGGGTAAATTGCTTTCTTTTCTGCTGAAAAATAAAAATATTAAAGATGCTAAAAATCTGGCAAAAAATTTCGCAAGTGCTAAACAATGAGAATAACATTTATGCACTTCAAATGGAAATAAGTTACCTCCATTGCAGCTTCTATCTGTAACTTTTTGCTGTATCCTTTCATCTCTCTTCAGTGAGGCCCAGCCCCTGTGTTTGCATCTCGCTGTGCTCTTACTGAATCCTGCCTCAGTTCAGCAGGGCACCAAAACACAGGCTTCTTTCTGAAAGTTCAGCCTGCAGATGTGAAGGTTTTGCCTGTGGACCTTCCCTGGCTAAAACAGCAGACAACAGCAGAGAAAACGTTGGTTGCATATTCCTTACATATTCATCTAAAGAAGTAGAGGTGCTCCGACACAGCAAGGCTGTGGGTATGAGAGAGAAATGCAGAGCATGGGTGCGCTTCAGAAGACAAACGGGGAGAGGCAGGATCATCAGCCAGCACGTTTCATTAATTATTCTGGAATAAATACATATCTATTTTTCCTGTACTAAGGCATAACTTTTATTTAGCAGACATTATCTCCAAGGATCCTTAGCAGCCCAGGACACAGCACAGTAATGCAGTGCAGTCTGGATGCTGTTATGTATTTATTAAGTTGTATCAGGGCCCATTTAGTAGCAGCTCTGCAGTTTATCACGTAAATATCGAATGCCAAATACAAAAGAGAAGAAAATAGCAACATAAAAAATTTATCTTTGGGGGGAGGAGAGGGAAAAAGGGAGAGAGAATGGTGCTGATAATGTGATTGTGCCTTCAGCAATAGTGGCTAATATCCTCTTGTAAGGGGCACGGTGTAAAAATATTCCCGAGCTGGGGGAGGAGGAGTGCAGAGAAGGGAGCCGAGCTGCTGTTTGTTTGGTTTAAAGTGTATTCTGGTTGCAGGCTAGGTCAGCGGGTGGCCAGACTGAGAAAATGAGTCCCCCGGGCTGTAATAATTGTAACTGTCAGGGAAAAAAGTCAAGGTCTTAGATAGCAGTGGTCTGCTCTGACTTCTGACCATGGAGAAATATATATGAAAACTATCGCCTGAGGCACTATGGGAAGAAACCAAGAGGTTTTAACTCATGGTGGCTTGTGCTTATGAATTGGAAAACTCATTTTGCACCTTGGTGGTTTGTATCTTTATGATTATTTTCATTTGCAGTATAAATGAAGCTAGAGCTATTAATTTTCCTTATGCCCAAATCTGTGATGCAATGAACACCTATTACCAGACCAGCTTTGCATTTCTGAGTCACAGGCAGCATGAAGGCTTGTAACTGATCTTTTAACAGTGGATATTCACAAGGAGAGTCTGAATTTGATTCTCTCTTGCAGCACGCTCATTATTTACCTGAGTGATCCATAGCTGCTTGAATGGATTAATCCAGAACGATACACAGGTAACTTCACAGACTTCACCATAAATATTCCTATAACAAAGGCAGCACAGGGGAGAAGAAAGGGAAGAATTTAAACCACACAAGATTAAACCTTGCAAATGGGGCGGGGAGGGGGGAGAGAATCCATAACTCTAGTTTCTTCTTTGATATTATTATACAGCCATGGACTAGCTAGCTAACTGGTCAGGCTTTTTGTGAAACAATCTGCCCCTTTATTTAAGGAAGTATGGGGCTCAAATGAAGACTTGCTATCAAACCTGAGCACTAACTACATTAGCCCTAACTCTGTATCATCCACAGGGCACATGCAGGAAAAATACAGACAAAAGCCAATGCTGGACAAAAGCAGCCCATTGGACAGGTATATGCTCAGAGCAGAGGGACATTTCTGAGAAGCACCTTTGCCTACACGTCTCCTCAGGCTCCTCAATGTATTTCTTACACACACAGAGGAAAGACAACTGTCCAAAGTTGTTGGTTTTTTCACCGTACAATGCTTTGTTCAATAATTCCAGCTCCTCTGATAGCCTTCTAATGCAAATTAATTAGGAAATATAATTCTTTTATTATGAATTAATAAGTGAAATTGGACATATTTATATACCTCGGGGACCCAAACAAACCATATAAACACCAAACAGCAGTTAATCCCGGTGTAAGAGTGGCAATAGCATGTAAGGTTTTGCTGGAAAAAGAGGATAATTATTGCTGGAATGTAATTTACTTGTTGAGAGTCACTGCAATAGTGAGCTGGGTAACTTTTATGGGCCCCATCTGTACTTTACTCACCTTCCTTACAGCCTGTGTGTGCCTTGTGAAGAAAGTACAGCATGTGTAATGGAGAAAGAGAGAGCAGTAATGTTAGCAGTAAGGAACAAAGTCCAGTGGAGCAAACAGACATACATATGAAGAAAGAATGTAACAACGGTACTCGTGTGCTTTGGTGTTACATAAAGAGCTCTCCTGCTTTGTCTGCCGTAGCCTCGGATCTCAGTAATTCACATTTCATTGCTCATTGCATTTTACAGAGAGGCAGCAGAAATGAGAGACGTGGCTTGTGAAAAGAGGGACACTAATTTAGGACCTCTTTAAAGCTCCTTTCCCCTGTAACAAGGCAGCGCTAAGAAGACCGTGGCAGAAGCAAAGACTCAAATGCCACAAAGACCCCACCAGCTCCTCTGGCCTGACCAGAGTAACAGAGCCCCGGCACACTTCCCTCTTCACCCTGCCCTAAACCTGGGAAGCTGTGCTTGGGAAAAGTACATTTTCCAAAATGGCATCCTCAATTTAAAGATTTCAGGCACACAGAACCTATCACTCCCATTGGACAGCTGCTCCAGCAGCTAAGGGCTTCCAGTGATGGCAATCATTTACCTTGGACTTTTCTTTTCACCATTTCTTTCTTTCTGTTAATGTGAGGACATCCTCAGGACTTTGTCTTCCCTACCTGTGGAGATAGTGGTACATGGTTACCATATTGCCCCATGATCTTCATTTTAGCTATAAATATTGATTTTGTGTGAGCCCATCCCTAGTCCTGGAATGATGCATGTGGTCACTGGGTAAGCAAAATGCACTAGGGCAATTGAAACACCTGCCACACCTAAAGCTTCCTGCTTTGAAGATAGGAGCAGGAAGCCAGAGGGGAAATCTTGGCTCCTAAGGGACTTCCATGATTTTGAGCCTTGCTGAGCCTTCACTTACTGATGAGCTCACCCTGAAGACAGGCACAGGAATTCATGGGGGTGCCCTCTTCTGAGCTTTCCAGAAGTGCTGCCTGGCTGCACCCTTACATCTGCAGGAAGGAGACAAAGGTCCAGCAGGACTACCTGCGCCATGGCCTCTTTTCTCTTTATGCTTGGGTGAGGCACACCATCAAGCTACCACAGAGGGGCTACAGCAGCTCTACCTGTAGCTTGCTAACGCAGCTTGTGCCTGGACAAGCAAATGATTGTTCAAGCAATTTTCTATTTTAAGGTGAAGGTGGCACATGCAGAAGATCTCAATGTCACTACGAAGCAGGGAGAGAGGCTGTAAGGAGGAGGAAGGCAGAAACCTTCACAACTAATGTCAATTTTCTGCATCAAATATTTTGATAATTAAACAAAGCTGATCAAGAGAGGAAAACAGCATGTCTCCAGAGCTCCGGAAGCACAGGCCCATTAAATAGAAGAGTCAGAAAGTGCCAGAGGCGGCAGCCTCAGATTAATGGCACTCCAGTAATAGATTTTCCCAGGCACAGTCACACAGGAGACAACTACTGTGTAGCCAGAGCAGCGATGAGGCCGTTAAAGAAACAGTAACATTAAATCACCTGGTACCACGGGGCGAGGGGATGGATGGGAGCGCATCGGCTTCGGCACTGTGGAAGGTGTAAAGCTCAATCTGCTTTCAGGCAGAGGACCTGGATCCCAGCAGTCATTTACAGCAGCGAAAGCAGGCAGCTCAGATGGAGGACGCATATAAAAACAGATAAGCAGCAGCTCCAGAAGGATGGCAATCTGAGCACAAATATCTCCTTCCTGCAGTGGAGAAGCAGGCATTAAGCATCAGTGTTTGGTTTTGCTAAGAATGGCCACGTCTGGTTTGGTTCAGTTGCTCTTATTAATCAAAGCACTGGTTTAATCTCTCGTGTTAAAACACCATTCTGAATTTGTTCAAATGCAGCAAAAGTTCAGGAAGGGATTGGGAGGTATGGCAGCTCGGTGGGAAAGCAGCCCTGTTTCCTTATTATCAAGTCAGTTTTCCCTCAGCAGTGTTGGAGCTGATCCTCCTTGAAACATCCATCTTGCCTAAAGCATTTGTATCCATTCCTATAATACAATAACAACAGAAACAAGGGCTTCTTCCACGGCAGGCTGGCATGGATTACAGTCCACCGCAAGAGTACTTCACTCCCAGCTGGGATGTATGGAAACCAGATGAAGTGGCTGAAAATCGGAAACAACTTTTAGACTTACTTGAATCCTGATACGATCACATCACAGGGATGGGTTAAATTTATGATCTTATCTGGGATTTTTGTTTGTAATCAATCCCAGACCCACTGGCTATCACTCACTATAAGCTTATGATTTCCCGGTGCTAACAAGGAAAAGTTGGGACATCAAACTCTGAGGGAGTGAAGCCAAGCTATGATATTAGCAGATAGGATCAGAACTGGAGCGCAACAGCAACAACAAAAAACCCCAAAACTCACACTACAAAACAAAAGAAAAACAACAGCCTCCTGCAGCCTGTAAGTTCAGCCTTTGCCTCGCGCTTCAGATACAAACCACGGTGTGTGCATGAACCCCGTGTCCAGGAACAATGATTTGGGGATAAAAGCTAACAAAACAAATTAAAACCGAATACCCCCAGATCAAAGCACAGCTTCAGCATGGGATACAGCTGCTGCGGGACATGCAGCAAAACGCACCCTTTTCCTACTCTTCTCCCTATAATAACCTCACCAGACAGTGCCACTTACTCTACTGGATTGCCTACAACATCTACCATGGCAAGCCTGAACTCTTTGCTAGTGACTTGGGCAGCGGGTGGCTAAGGGTACCTATGGAGCAGATCTGCCCCTGGAGCTCCCTCTGCTTACTTGAATGCAGTTAAGGAGAACGGCACACCAGGGATGGAGCTCATGCTCTAAGATACAGCCAATTCCAGACAACACCAGACACTTCTCACAAGTCCAGCGTATGAACAGGGAAAGTGCATTTATTTGTTGCTTTGCATCTTCTCCCATTTTGATTCAAACAGAGGCATATTCAGGTACAATATTGGAGCCAGTCCAAGGTGGGCAGAAGATCTGCTCTCCCCTGATTACTGCTCTATTTTCCAGGCCAATCACTGTTGAACAAGGTACTAGGAAGCACCAGGTCTCTTACACATTTACACAGCAGATGAAACATGCATTGCTTTGGGGTCTCCCTTACATTCAGTTGGGATAAAGACACACCAGAATCTGGACAACATTTCAGTCCAATCATGTCATCAGGACTTGTTTGACCATGCCCATGGGGATGGTAGGGACAGCAGGGCATCAAACACCCGAGTGCACGTGCATTATTTCAACTGTGTCCCTTTCTCAGGTTTCCAGACCCAGCAAGAGCTCTTTGCACTCTTTTTCCTGGGACCCTGGCACCAGTGGCACATTCTGGTACTCCATTTATCTGTGAAGGGATGAAGAGTTACAGACTTAAAGGCCAGATACCCCCACAGGTTAAACGTAGGAGTTAAAGTACGTGCTCTTCAACAGTTGTCTTTTATGTAGCTGCAGCAAATTTCCCTACCAGGTGGCTGTTGAGCTGCAAAATCATCTCAGACAGTTCAGGAGGCCTTAGGAACATCCCTGCTCAGCATTCTGAGCAGCCCTTCACACAGCGAGAAGCTTCCAAATCCATGCATTGCTTTCTTCTCAACTTTGCATGGATTAGCTCCGAGACTAACAGTGTGACAAATCTGTTAATGTTTCAACAGGCAAGTCTTAATTTTGCACATACCCTTCAGTCATTTTCCATATGGAAATGGAAACTTTCCACAAACAGCCTGTTAAGATTTTCAATACAGGCATAAAAAGATTGTTCAAAATGAGAAAAATTCTAACAGAGGCATTCAGATTGCTTCAAAAATCAGAATTCTTGAGCAGTACCTATGGGTTTTGTAAAAAAGAACATTAGATGCACTGTATAAATGGAATAGATAGGCTTAGAGCAGAAGAGGCTTAGCAGCTTGCCTAGGATTGCTCCAAGTGGGAATGTAACCTATAGAATCCCAAGGTCCAAACCCAACCCAAAGAGGCTTTATCAAGAGCATATTCAATTCTGCATTTAGTTCATAAGCTCAGAGTCAACCCTACGCAAGCAGCACTCTACAGTGTAATAAGTCCCCCAAAGCAAACAGAATTGTACCAGGATAACAGATACAGCCAGGCTCTTTTATAGTGTATGAATCAGATCTATAAATCAGGAGTGACTCAGCTGAAGTTACTGGTGCTGCTTCTCCTTTGGAATGAATTGATCAGAAGCTGGTCCACACAT